TTCCACTGTGGGCACAGACACCACAGAACAGATGTGTGTGGGGGGCAGAAGCAGAGGGTCCAGGCCACGCTGGTGAGCCCCAGAGGGACCCCCCACCCCCATGGGCCTCACCTTGTTCACCTGCTGCCGGCCCAGGCAGCCCCGCAGCTCCTCCTCCTCCTCCAGGTCCTGGGACTGGCTCTCATCCTCTGTGACAGCCGAGCGGGGACCGGTGAGCCAGGCCGCCCCACCCAGCCCTCTGGCCCCACCCAGCCCCCGTGCTGTGGTGTGTCCTCCCTCCACCGAGAAACATCCTTGTTAGGACAAGTCACACTCACATTAAAGACAGCGTGTCCTTAAAACAAACAGACAAACAACAGCTTGTCCTTGAGCCAGGCTCCCCATCCCTGCGCACTGTGGCCTCCACCCCAGCTCCCTGCACCCCTCCCCCCTTCACTCTGCTCCTGCCTCTGCCCCGCCTGTGCCTCTGGCCCCTTCTGGAGTCTTTCCTCGCGGTGACCACCGTCTGAACAGCTCTGCCCGAAGTTGTCTCTGTCCTGCCACACCCTGCCTGTGGCTGGCTCCCTGTACCGCTGCCCCAGCAACACCCAGCCAGGCCCTCTCAGCCAGGCCCACACCTCCCACCTGCCCCGGACACTCGCCGAGAGCCTCTCACATCCAACAATGAGGCACTCCTCCTAGCCCAGCCCTCCCTCCTGCCCCCACTGCCCTGCGATGGTGCAGCCCCGGCCCACCTCAGACTGTGGCTCGTGACCACATTGGCCTCCAGGGAAACCCACACCACGTTGTCCAGGAAGAGCTGAGCTCCTCTCACTTGTCCTGTGCTCGAAGTGCCCTTTCCGCAGGTCACTCTCACGGCCTCCCCCATGGACACCGACCAGCTCCCATCACCACACCCTCCGGGAAGTCCCAAAGCTGCCCAGGCTCTCTGTGCACCCCTCTCTGTCGACCTCACGGCTCTGGCCACCCTCCTTGCACAGAGCTGTCTCCTGTCACAACCTGCGATCAGGCCCCATCCTCACCAACCGCAGCCCCGGGCCCTGCTTGAGCGGGCGAAGGGGAGAAAGCACCAGGGCTGCTGGCAGCGTTCAGGCCTCACCGCTGTCTGAGAGCTCCACCTCGCTGGCCTCCATGGCGTCACTGGCCTCCTCCCCTTCCCCGTCCTCCTCCTCCTCCTCCTCCTCGTCCTGTTCCACACGCAGCTCCTGGAGCCTGGCTTTAGTGCCAGGAGCCTCCTGGGGCTGCAGCCGCAGCTGCACGGTGTGGAGGTGCTGCAGGACCTGCCTCTACAGAGCAGGTGATGCCCAGTCAGGGCCACAAGTACACCAGCTACCCCGGGGGTGGGGGACACAGGGCGGGGACAAGGGCACCAGCTGGGTGGATGGGGCCACACCTGCAACTGGGGCCGCTGAGCCTGCTGGGCGCAGCTGAGAGCCTTCCGGAAGCATGGTGCCAGCTCCTCATAGGTGTCACCGGCCTCCTCGCGGGACAAGGCAATGTTCAGCCAGGTCTTGGCCTCCTGGAGCAAGAGGAAGATAAACGGGTTCTGTGATGGCTGCCCCAGTGCAGAGACCCTGGGCACGGGGCCGTAGCTCACCTCCAGGGCATTGCCCTCACGCAGCCTCAGCTCCTCTTCATAGTGGTGCACAGCCCCACGGGGGTCCTTCATGTCTCCCAGAGTGGTGGCCAGGGACACATGGATGACGGCCAGCTCGGGCCCCGGCCTGTCCAGCAGCTCCGCAAAGTCCAGCTGAGGATGCAACAGAGTGGCTACTGCACACCTTCCGGGCCCAGAGCATCGCAGTCCCTCCCCTCCCCACCCCTCCCCTCCAGCCGGGGTGCACCTGCTTCTGGTAGGCCTTCGCCGCCCTGGGGAAGTCGCCTGCCTTGGAGAACAGGTCCCCCAGCTGCTCACAGATGCCCATGGCGCTCTGAGGGTCACTGCTCTCGGACTCCTCCAACTGCTGCTGCAGCCGGATCACCGCCAGCACTGACGGGAAGAGCCTCATGCGAGGGGGCGGCAGACACGGGGCCCAGCCCGGCTCTGCCATCGCTTAGCCCTGTGCCCTCAGGCGGGCCACCCTCCCCGCCCAGTGCCCAGTCCAACGTGGACTCTGCTCCAGTGCCTCCCCATCCCCCACCCCTCCTCCCCGCCCAGCCTGTTTGCCCGTTGGTAAGGAGGGGTAGTCAGAAAATCAGCCCTGGGGGGTTGTTGCAAGGGCTACAAGAACTAACAGATGATGCTGGCTCGCAGCAAAGGCAGACCACTGCCGGCGGCTGCTGACGCCACCATCGGCACTCTGGCCACACACCCTGTCCACTCCGAGTGGAGACAGCTTTTGTCTCGTTTGCAGAGGATGCCAGTTTATGGGAAACACCTCGTCCCCTGACCACCCTCACAGCCTCTGCACACACTGTGTTATAGACTCAGATAAAAGTGGGGTTCTCGCCGAAACCGGTTTGGCTCAGTGGATAGAGCGTCGGCCTGCGGACTGAAAGGTCCCGGGTTCGATTCCGGTCAAGGGCATGTACCTGGGTTGCGGGCACATCCCCAGTGGGAGATGTGCAGGAGGCAGCTGGTCGATGTTTCTCTCTCATCGAAGTTTCTAACTCTCTCTATCTCTCTCCCTTCCTCTCTGTAAAAAATCATTAAAATATATTAAAAAAAAAAAGTGGGGTTCTCCTCCCAACAGGAATTGGGGCTGCCACCTCCCCAAGGACACATGCCTGGCCCCCTTTGCCAAGGAAGGGGAGCCCTTAGCCCCTGGGGTCCCCTTCCAGGCTCACCATACTTGAGGGTCTGGCACACAGCCGCCCTCTGCAAAGGCTTCTGGGAGCCCAGCCTGTAGGCCTTCTTCAACGCTCTCTTCGCAGCCAGGAAATCACCCAGGTCTTGGAGAACCTGGGGGATGAGGGAGGTGAGCTTGCCTTCCCCAGGCCCCTGGCCAGCCCGCAGCTGCGCCCGCACCCCCGAGGGCACCTGTGAGATGAGGACGCAGCACTCGCTCTCCATGAACCCCTTCCGCATGGTGCGCGCACACTCCCGGGCCCCCTCCAGACAGCGCATAGCCTGGGAGTGCTGCCCCTGACGCCAGTGGATGGCGCCCAGGTTGTAGCGGGCACGGTACAGGTCCTCGTACAAGTGGTTCTGCCTGCAGGTGACAAGCGCTGAGTGCCCAAGGCACCAGCAGCCCCTCAGCTCCTCCCCTGGCACGTAGCAGACACGCCAGGCTGGCCCCCCAAGGGCTGCTTCCTCTAGCAACAGGGGACTTAGCTCCATCCTGGGCAAAGTGGGGCAGAAAGATGCTCTTACTCGGCAAGAAAGATGCTCTTCTTGAAGTAGTCATTGCACAGGGCCGTCTGCCGCAGACTCTCGAAGGTGAGGCCCAGGTTGAGGTAGAGTCGGGCCCGCATCTCACTCAGCTCTCGCTTGGGCAACGTCCCTGGGAGACGACCCCTCCTGACACTCAGGGCCCTGACCCCAATTGGGGTCTCCGGCTTTGGGCCCCATCCCCCACCCCTCCTCCCGCCTCTCACGGGGGTCCCAGGGGTTGTGCTGGAACCAAGAGCAGACAACGGATTGCCAGGTTTGAGGCTGCCAGGAGCACGGACTGGGCGTCCCCTCATGAGGGGGCTCCTAAGAACAGACCCCAGCCTCACAAGGGGAGGCCCAGGCAGGAGAACCCACCACACAGGCTGGTAGGCGGCGGGAACACTTCCTCTACCCACAGCTCTGGGGGCAGAGGGTGGGTAGGGCTGCACCGCAGGGCACTCACTGTGCAGCTTCTCATCCACAATAGCCAAGCTCTTTTCAAAGGCAGCTCGAGCCTGCAGCAGGGCCTGCTGCGACTGGCTGTGGTCATAGACGTCCAGGTGGGTGCGGCCAATGGTGGCCCAAGCCCGCTGCACCTCAGTGTGGTTGGACAGGGAACAGGCCAGCTCCAGGTAGTGCTGCTGGTGCTGGGGCGCAGAGGGACAGTGGCTGTGACCAACCCTTGCCTCAAGCAAACCCCACGTGTCACTCAACTCCGGGGGGTCCCTATGCTTACACGGGAGAGCCCCTTCTCCCTGGGACACCCCTCCCCCTGAGCCAAGGGCTGCCTGTGGGGACACTGGCTCCACAGCCCAGCAAGCAAACGTCAGGCTGGGGAGCAACAAGGCGTGAAGGTTAGTTGGGTTCCTGCACCCCAGCAGCAAGGGCCAGGGCAGGCTCTGTGTGAACAGTGGGTCCTGACCCTCACCCCCCAGGTCACAAACACAGCTGAAGTGATGTGTTCATTAGTGTTTGTTTCTGGGGCCAAACTCCCAGAAGAGATGGTGGTGCAGCCACGCGAGGACCAGCTGACCATCCACCGGCACAGGCCCGCCCAGTTGCAGTATGTCCCCCTATAGCCAGAGGCTGGGACAGTAGGCTGTTCCTCTGTCCTCAGAAAGGGACCCCTGCCCAGGCAGCGTGGCTCAGTGGTTGAGCGTGGACCTATGAACCAGGAGGTCACATGCCCTGTTCGTGGGCTCCATCCCCAGTGAGCGGCTAATCACTGATTCTCACCATTGATGTTTCTCTCTCTTTCTTTCCTTTCCTCTCTAAATCAATAAAAAAAGAAAAGAAAG